TACATACGTACACATACACATACACATACACATACACATACACGTACACGTACACATACACATATACATATACATATACATATACATATACATATACATATACATATACATATACATACATACGTACGTACACACACATACATACATACATACATACATACATACACATACATGCACGTACATACACATACATACATACATACAAACATACATACATACATACATACATACATACATACACACATACATACATACGTACTCACATACGTACATATACATACAACATACATACATGCATGCATAGATGCATGCATGCATGCATGCATGCATGCATGCATACATACATTCAAGCAGACACACATACATGCGTACATGCGTACATGCGTACATGCATGCATACATACATTCAAGCAGACACACATACATGCGTACATGCGTACATGCGTACATGCGTACATGCGTGCTTGCATATGTACATGCATTCAGACATGCATTCATACACAAATCCATGCATCCATCAATCCATGCATGCAGTCATACATACAGACATGTGCACGTAAATAAATGTATATTTACAGTTGCATGCATGGATACGTGCAAATAAAACATGCATACATACATGTCTATCTGCATGTATGCATTTATGGATGGATGGATGCATGGATGTGTGTCTGGATGGATGCAAGCATGTCTGTAGGTATGTACCTACGTAAATACGTACGCATGTATTATTACTGTATAGCGTGCATGTATGCACAAAGTGTACATACGGGTGCGTGCAATATGAAAGGACAACTGCTTAACTAGTTTCAATCTTTCTACATCTACAGAGGCATGCAGGCAGTTACGTATGTATGGAGCACGTGCTACTGCGCAGCGACACTGTGTGGTGCACTGTGCTAGAAGTACATTGTACGTTGCCCAACTCTTGACAGTCAAATAAGTCAACAAGTTAATATAGTCAGCAGGACATGCTGTGTACACGTTATTACACACATCTGAAGATGCAGGCGGTACTCATTTGTACGTAAAAAGAAGGTGTGTGCGGGTGTGTGTGCGTGTGTGTGTATACACATATTACATATATATTTACACACACATACATGCGCACACACACACACACACCCTCATCAGGTGATAGTACATGAATCCCTCACAACAGTTCTGCTGCAGGCGGAGGCTGATGCTGCGATGGACGGAGAGGACCAAGCCGGTTTATCCAGAGGTTCCAATTATCGAATTTTGTTGCATAGTGGTCATCCCTTTGCGGAGGTCCTCGTAAAAACCGGTCACGTAGTGTTTGAGGTTTCCACACCAGAACACCGTCATTCAGAGGACCACATCTCCACGCGAGCTCGAGGGCGAGGTCAGGGCCTTACAAACTTCCGAGCATGCAGCCCAACAGCTTCAAGCATCATCTCTGTGGGCTGGAACCGGAAGTCGAGCTTGTATACGGTACATGTATACAAGTGCATACATGCATACATACGAATGAGTGCTGGTAGACGTACGGAGGGGCGGATGGGCACACAAAACTAAGCATGTTTTAAGCATAGCGTGTTGATTGGTGAGTTGCACCTCCTGCTATCAATTCGACAACTTCCTGTGCGTGCTGTTTGGTCGCTCCTGTCAACTTCCAAGGTCGTGGGCGTGGGAAGCGGCGCAAAGAGAAAGGCAGCAGCATTGATGTAAGGTGCTGCCCTGGTGCTATCCTGCGGCCACGAGCTTTTCCCCGAGCCTGGAACATCGCACAGAGCTCACAAGTGGCATGACGATGTCAGATCCCTGAAAGCGACTCCTCACGATGCTACAGGAGTTGCCGGCTCCACGGCAAAGGCGGCGCCAGCCGCACCCCCTCCCTCGGTGGAGGCGATGAGTGATGCGAATTCGGAAGGGTTTCGGGACGGTTTGGCTAGGGCTTTGCTCTTGCTTGATGTATACAATGTAATGTAGTATACGTGTAATGCTGGAGGGTTGCAAGATTATCAGGTACATCACTGATGCGAGGAAGTGTGCGGCGCTCCTTCAACGAGTTGCCGAGTTCGGCAAATGTCGGGCCAAAACCGTGGGACAAGCCAATAACTCAAAAGCCTTCTCGCAGTCCTCATCCTCGAAATCTGTGAACACACATGTATGTCGTTCGATGCACTCCTGGCACAGCGCATCCTGGCAAGAGCCTGACAAGTGATCTGGCATGGCTCGAGGCGCAGCACAACCTCTCTTCGAACATCCAGGCACTGCGCAGATCATCTCCCCGACATTCTGTTTCGGTTCAAGCAGGATGTGGCACAGGATGCATGATCGTCTGCCTATGCTCTGTCTATTCGATAGAACTGAAAAGTGCGCTTCTTTTGTGTCGCAATTCAAATTTATTGACCAGGTTTCCTCATTTCTCGCGTAGCCGTGTATATATATATATATACATATATATACACATAATAATTATATATATATATTTTTTGTTTACGTGTGTATGTATGTAGGTATGTATGTATGTATGTAAGTAAGTAGTTATGTACGTGTGTATTTATGTTTTCTTCATATGGTCGCACGGTGCTCACATTGAATGCAAGCACGACAGCCTAGACATGGTGATCTATTTGCTATGTTGCATGTTGCCTTATAAGGATTTGCCGTTCTTCACACGGCCCGGAATGTTGCAGGCATGCATGCAATGCTTCACAACTCACTTCTGGCTTGCTTGTTCGGCTGTCTGGTTCAGTCAACGGTGTATTTTCCGGGAGCCAGAAAGACCACATAAATGAGGATTCAGCTTTTGGGGAAGTTCCCTATAGAGGTTCGTATACCCCACGCGTAAGTTGTGCCTGCTTGGGTTTAGTTTAGTATTTTGCAGGTCCCTCTCGTCTGAAGCCTTAACTCGAATCCCGTGCGCCTCGATTTGCCAGGGGCTTCGTTTCATGCAATCAGCTCGGGAGAACGAGGAGCGGAAGAAGTGCGGGGCTCGGTAAAGAGGCAGTGGATCCTAGGGCCCTACCAGGCCCTGACTCTGCGCTGAACGGCGGTGCGGGTGACTTGTCGGTCTCACTCCTTTTTTTGCGGTACAGCTTGCGATTGCTTCGAGCATGCTGCACAGCTTTGCCTAAGGCAGGAGAAGGAGCAGCTCCGGCACATAGAGGACGACCACTTGGCTGCAAATCACATGTCTGTTGCATCAGAAGTGCAAAGACTACTCCGAAGCAGACCACATCGATTCTTATGAGATTCAACAGCGAGTCGTGACTTTGCTGAACCAGGAGATGCAGTGGGTCGTGGAGGGCTTTGAGGCAGAAGTCTTGGCCGAATCGTCTCAGGACTCACACATGTCATGTAGGAGCCATGGCAGAAAAAAAACCCAATACGGCTGTTATGATCGGTAACTGCCGTCTGCAGACTTCATGGTGATGACAACGATCGTAGTGCTGAGTTGCTGCTGTAACGGCGATGACGAACATGATGGGTGGCTTTGTTGCATTACAGCAATCAAGGTGTGCTGCCATAGTTCTGTGCGAGCTGCAGGACACAAGTAGCCTGAGTAAGGTTCATGAAATACCTCCAGTTAGCCCTGTCTCATCCTGTCCATCTCTGTCACTCGCGGTGTGTGAGGTCCGCAAACTGTTTGCCTGCGCATCCAGGTCTTCACTTCCCTTTGCGAATTCCTCGTGGCACTCGTCGGGTCCAGTTTTGGTTAGACGTGTGCACTGTGAACATCTTCCATTGTTCTTCTACTTACTGTGCGCATTCGGCTCAGCCTTCGGTAGCCTGGAACCGCACGCCGCCATACGCAATTTATGTGACTGCCGTGGCATCAGGGACGAGGATGTTTTCCCGGATGCCACAGCAATCACAGGAATGGTAAGGAGCCGGCCGTCTTGCCCCGCTGCAGTGGACGTAATACCGGGCATGGACATGCTCTAGCCTTGAAGGGTCTCGCCATCGAGGGTCATAGTTGCTGTAAGGTGAAGCCGCACGCATGCTCTTCGTGCCAGCCTAAGTGCCAAGAGAAATCAAGAATCTATGTAGTACTCTTCTCATTGTCGTCTGTTGAGGAGGCCCGAGATCAATGCAACCTCTCTGCTGAACTCACAGTTGCGCAGAGGTTGATTCCCAAGTCGCGTAAGATACTACTGCCGGGTCCGTCGGAGGAGAAGCGACCCGCCGAGCTCCGGACAGGGCCACCACCCTTGCAGCTGCACCGACGTTCCTACAAGGTCTCGGGATGTCTTGGGGCTTTGGGTTCTTGTCGCAAAGTGTGGTAGTTTTGCCGGGCACAGAGTGGGAAAGGCTTCTTCCGGATTCGGTGTCCGGAAGCAACATGCCCCGCGGCTGCTCGATGTCTTCTCGCTGTGTGTGTGTGCTAGTTGTTGATCGAAACTCTCCGAGCACTGTTCTTCCGGCCAACAGCTCACATATTTTCGTTCCAATATCAACAGGCTCAACAGGAAGACTTCTTCTCAGGACCACCTGACCCGTCACTCTCTCAAATACAAGGACACTTAGCACAAGGGCTTCATTTATTACATTCCTTTTTGGTTTGGATTGACCCCCGTGCAAAGTTAAAGTTAACGGATGTGTGGCACCGGGTTTCCAGTTGAATCGCAAAGTACCGGCAGACGGTGCTTGACACTTGATATCACTCGATCATGATGATAATGATTCCTTTTCTTTTGGATTCAGCACGCTCTGTCTGGTTTCACTTCCTGGATCTGCAGGGTGTGGAGGGCACTTGCTCGCTTGCTTCTGCCGATGTCCGCCAGACTTCGGAGAGAGAGAGGCATCTGTTGACCGCCTCAGGGCTTCAATGGCCTTGTGGAGCAGTCCATGAAGGCCTAGCGTCCAGGGTCTGTGTTGTGGGCACCGCTGTCTTTGCTGTTGGTGACAACGGCTTCGGAGCGCGGGAGAATTCCTCTGGTCCTCTTTTCTTGTCTGCGAGGATCTGCTAAAGAAGCACGCCGAAATGATGACGCAAGCAGAGGAAGTGGAGCAGGCATGGCAGTATGTAGAAGCTGCACAGGCTGTCTGCAACGTGTGCCGTTTGCTCTTGCTTCAACGTAACTTGCTCTGCTCGCACTGCAAGGCTTCTGCGCTTCGCAAGATGAAGCAGCAAAGAGTGACCAGATCGTAGCGGCCAAAGCGTCTGGCCGAAGCGACTCGCTCCATGTCAAGAGGACCCGACTTCACAAGCTCCACCGAGCCTATTCTTCACGAGCTGATCACAGAGGGTTCCTCAAAAGTGGATGTAACTTCATTCCTGCATACATACTGTGCTAGTGAAGACGCTTCGGCGACATGGTGAGCGCAAGAGCAACGAGAAGACAGTGCAGATGCATGCGCCTTTGCACGGGTTCTGACATCTCAGTTGTAGCATCTTGTCCGGATAGTTACCCTGAAGCACCCAAGTCCCTAAGCAATCTGGAACAGTCACCACCCAGACATGACTCCTCGGTCATGCAAATCATACGAGCAAACAACACGCTTAAGCAGTCAAAGCAGTGCGGCGCAGTACATGTACGGCTCAACTGATTGTGTCGTAGTTAGATCAGTGAACGTAGTGCAATCTGTTGTCCTCAACGGCGCGAGACCGGCAACAGCCGCACAGCGAAACACTCGCAGGAACGTCAACAACAGTCGTAAGCATCGGGTTGTAGTATGACCCAAGTGCATCAAGTTTGCTGTGAGTGACGTTCCCCTGGAACAGCACATGCTGTACAATGTGACCTAGCAGCGAGAAGCATGCGGCATGGCTTTGGAACGTCTGGTAGGAGTGTTTGATGAACCAGGTCAGGACAGCTTGGTGAACGTCTGGTTGACTTCTGGCTCAAGGGAAGGGCAGCGAGATTGGGACTCCTTGGAGAACTGCAACAAAGGCGCCGAGCGGAGACAAGCCGAGCTTGCAAACAACCTCTGGATCTTCGCGTAACGAGCAGCTTGTGACTTGCAACCCTTTGCAGTGCAAATTGGGCTGCTTGGAGCAGGTTCGCTAACATGGCGGATTCCAAGAAGCACATGAAGATGGGCACGGAGGAGAGCCCAGCTCGCTAGTCTTCCGGATGAAGTTAAGCCTAGTTGGGCACTGCTGATGCAGGAGAGCTTGAAGACTCTGATGAGGCACAGGGTCCAGTTGATATCGTTTGCTTCCCGCAGCGAGAGCCAGGTCTACGCGTCTAACCCAGCCTAGCGGCTCCAGTCTTCAAACGGGGCGAATCCGTGCGCAGGCCGCACATGCATCACGCCATTGACACCTGGATGGCCCAGGCAGGCGCTGTTAGATCTGTTTGTTGGCAAAGATCCTGGCAATCAGTGACACTGTGTGTCTGGGTGATGGCAGCGAATTCGCAGGAAGAACTAACATAACGATGAGTATAGTATGAGAAGGGTGCTGAGGATGATCTTGGTGATGGGTGGGTGTCAACGATTGTCGCAGTTGGAGCTGCAAGGGGTGGTTGCAGTCACGTTGGTCTTGTTGCCGCTCCTAGTGATCTTCTTGGTAGTCGTTGTCGACCTACGCCGTTGTGATGATCGTAGCATTATTACTAGCAGTAGAGGAGGAGTAGTAGTAGTAGTAGTAGTAGAAGTAGTAGTAGTAGTAGTAGTAGTAGTAGTAGTAGTAAAAGTAGTAGAAGTAGCAGCAGGAGAAGTAGTAGTAGTGGTGGTGGTAGTAGTAGT